TATATATATATATATATATATATATATATATATATATATATATATTATTTGTGTCAAAATGTTAAATTATTATATACAAGGCCTAAAGGATGAATCCAGAATTACAAGGAAAATACTACATTATTTAATGTTTAAGTTAGTTACAGTGCAGCTAACTACAAATACTGGTGGCAGAGTATCCTGATGCATGCTCAATAATCCAGAGGATGTCCAGAGGACCAGATTGAACTTTTTTGGACTGGTAGCAGAGGTTTGGTTAGACTGGGCTAACATTTAAAGTGTTTTAAGTCCTTGACCTTCTAGCTGCTCTTGGGTCGAAATGACTCCTGGCTCATTTTGACCTAAGATCATCAGAATGGTTAAAGAGCAGCTACATTCTGGTTTATTTAGAATAATTAAAGCACTTGGTGCTTTAATTATTTATTTATTTATCATACATTTATTTTTGTAATGACGGCATTGCTGCAAATTTGGTGTTCTGCTGACACTCACACATGACCAGGACTCCTCCGGATAAAGTATTTAAAACACATTAAAATGTCGTGAGAGCTGTTAGCACAAAAGTAAAGGTGCATTCACCAACACTGTTCACTGTGGGGACATCTGCAGCACAGGGCGCAGAGTCTGCTTAAAGCACAGCTAGAAGCAAGAGCAACCATCTCGTTCAAATCAAGCAGAAACTCACATCAGAACGAGGAATGGAAATTTGCTTCTTTTCACAACGTCAGCAGAAGGAGAGAATGGCATCGTTATAGGCTGCACTGTTGATAAGACGTATCTGCTGTGTGCAGAGTCAGGCCAGCTGCTACACAGTTTGCAAATTTGAGGAAAAAAGGGCCTTGCTGTAGGACTGACATGCCACAACCAGCCAGTGCACGGCAAAACAAGCAACATGACACAGACAGAAGGAAAGAATGCTGGGACTGAAGAACTCACTGTGTAAAGTTCATTGGTGACTTTCACCAACTCTTCATGCATCTGCACCCCGATATCTTTACTCTGTGGGAAACAAACGAAACAGACGATAATAGAAAACATCTTTATCGGATGGATAAAAAGACAACTATTCAAACATCTCAAGCCAAATAACTGATTTATTTCTTAGCATGAGAAAACTCCCCGTGCGAGAGAACTTTGAGAGGCGTGCGCCAGTTTCATTTTAAATGTGAAGGATGTCGGCAAGTGTTGAAACGCTGTCATTACTCTGCAGCTGAGAGGATCTAATACAATGCCCAAAGAGAACAGGCAGACAAAAATAGAACAGTGCAGTCATTGCAGAACGGCTCCCACAGCGGAAAGTCACAGCTTCAGCTCAGTTACAGAGAGTAAGAGCGCATGATGAATCGGACACATCCCACAATAGGGCTTGTAGCCAAAGATGGGATGGGGTGGGGGAGGGTGGTGGTGGTGGTGGTGGGGTGTTAGTGCTGCCAGCGCCAGTGGAGTGTGACTCTGGAAATCCTGTTAAGTGGATACTGAGCGGCGCTTCACCCAATATATCCCGTTTTGTTGTCACCTCTCAGAGAACACTTGTCAGAACAGCAACCTTGCGTTTTCACACGTGGCAGGAGTAAAAGCTCAGCACATTCACTTCGCTTAAAATTTGTCTTAACGCGTGCCAGAGGTGAATCATGGCCTTCGCCACATGTGTAGCTCATTAACGGCAAGACTGCACTGCAGCTGAACCAGGATGCTGCAGCACAGCAGGGTTATTGTCTTTAGTAACTCTGTCATCATTTCAGCAAGCTGGACCGGGTGTTTTTAGGCAGGCGGTCATCAGTAATTTCCCTTGGCTGATCACAAACCAGACAACTTTTCCTTTCAATAATTGTATCCAATTCCAAACGGGTGGGGCATTTTTTTTTTATTCTAGCTTTAACTGCTTGAAGTTGAAGTTCTGTGAAAAGGTTATGAAAATATTAATATCTCATCAAAGGTAGCTCTTTGAACCACCTCAGTTTGGAGAGATAAGAGTTTACTCTGACCAGACTGACAAGCTAACAGCTAATCGGTGAAGGATTAGAAATCTTAAAACAACTCTGGTCTAAAACACTCTTATTATAAAGCATGACACTGCTGACAGTTTTATAATACACAAGTATTTCACAGGATTCAGTGCTTATTGCTGTTATTATTTTTAGTAAGCATAGCAGCAGCTAGTTTAGCATGTCAAGCAAAGGCTGAGATGCATCCAGCACAAAAATCACAATATTTCTGCCAAAATAGTTGTAAAATGCAAAACTGTTCACAATTTAATAGTTTAGAAAACTACATTTGTATGAACAGCTATGATTTTTTTTATTAGTCTTTTTAAAATGTCAGCAAATCATTTTAACCATTAGCTCAAACAATCCAGTGAGATTTAAAAAAAGTTAAGTCAAGTCTTCTGGATGGTTTCTTTTTGTTGAAACGTTTCGTCCTTCATCCAAAGGACTTCATCAGTTTGAGGAGCCACAACAAACTCAGTCTCATATAATGGACCAACCCACTTTTGATGTTTTGAACCACTTTGGCTATAGCTGCTTCAGAGGAGTCGACAGGGGAGAGGGCAGACTCTAGAAACCATCTTATCACCATAAAACTGATTGACCCACTATGTGATTAAGCCACTTATGGGACAGAGTTTGTTGTGGCTCCTTGGACTGATGAAGTCCTTTGGATGAAGGACAAAACGTTTCAACAACAAACAAAAAAAACGTGCAGAGGACCTGACTTAACGTACTTGCCGCCATTAACGTTGCACCGCCGTATAAGTCGCATCAGTCCAAATATGTCAAAGAAAGTGGGGAAAAAAAAACAAATACATTGCTTCACCGTATAAGTTGCATCTATTATGCGTCACCATTGATGCGTCGTGTTTGTTACACGTCACCGCCGACAACCTGTAAATGTGGGCCGGTATTGTGCCAAAAATCGATTGGCTGTCAAATGGCGGCCGTGGGAGTGCATCAGAGGACTTTAACAAGATTAACACTTAAAAACAGTTATTTGTTTGCTCAAAATTATAGCAAAGGTGTGTCTCAGTTGAACTTTTCCTTAATTAATGCATTTTGACAATCAAATCAGTTGCATTTCAAAAGCCAATTTGCCGCTGCCGGAATGTGCAGAGGGACGACTCGCTGTGTATTTCTTAGAAATTTAACAAGATAACTACCTGAAAACAATTATTTGTTTGCTCGAAATTATAGTAAAGGTGTGTCTCAGTTGAACTTTTCTTTAATAAATGCATTTTAACAGTCAAATCAGCTGCATTTCACCTGGGCAGCGCGGCAAAATGCAGCTGATTTGACGTTTGCTCCAGGAGTTCCAGAGCGAGACAAAGGTGGCTTGTATGGCAAGCCAAGTGCCTCATTAATATTCACTTTTACCTTTTTTGTATACCTTTATTTTACCAGGAATAAATCCATTGAGATCATCAATCTCTTTTACAAGGATGTCCTGGAAACTGCAATATTAATGACTCTTGGCTTGCCACATTGGTGGAGCGCCCTCTAGTGGCTGAAAATGGTAGTGTTCAATATTTTCCATGTCAGAATGAATGAAATCGTCAGATCTCAGCCAAAAATTGGGTTACAATATGAGAAACAAAACAAACATGTCACTTCGCTGTATGTCGTAGGCATGCTAATTTATGCAAAAAACTGACTTATACAGCAAAAATTAAGGTAACTTTGTTGGACTTTTTACCTGATTAACCCATGAACTTTGATGAAAGCCAATGAAAATTAAACTCCATTTTTCCAAACTGAAGTCATTCATTAATCTATCTACAGCAGATTAAAACCAAACTTGCTCATAATCTTTCCATACTTTAAAAAGGACAATGGCAATGAAGTTGATTATTCTTATTACGCATTACTGTTAATGTGCCGATTTAAGCAGCCGGCTCGTGTGAATGTGTTCGTCACTAACAGTCACAGCAGCGTGCTCTCATCCATTTTATTCACATTCTGACCTTTTTGAAAAGTCTGATGACATCCTCGCCTACGTGCGCCAACCGGACAATGACGTTGTTGTTGTAGATGTCGCTGAGAGTGGCGTGGTCTCTGCTTTCCCGTCGGGTCTGGTCCAGCACCAAATACCAGCAGTTCACAGTGGAAACGAGATTTTGGTCTTTTCTGAAGTCGTAAGGGGAGAGATTTGTTAGCAGTTAAACGTGTCGAATCCTGAAGAATTACTGTGGTTTCTGACAACACCTAAAAACTGCCTCGAGCTACAAAAAGTCCTGCTCAGTGACTGACTGAGCTCAGATCAAAGTGTTTAGTTTCTGAAGACTTGCAGATACGATGCTGAAACATGAGGAAAAACAAAGAGCTTCTTTCTGCACACAGATTTCATTCCATCATTTGATCCCCGCTGAGGGTCGTTACATATTATAGATCAGAAGGTCAGTGGACAGGGGTAGAGAAAAAAACGAGGCAGATCTACACATGCACGCTCACGCACATGCATGCACACTACACTGGCTGCCTCTTTGCTCATGGGAGCATGTGAGTTCCATTATCCTCACACCAAAGCATTTGTTTCTCTTCTTCTTGTCTTTTATTCTACCATGAGAGAATTAAACATTTTCCTAAACATGAACATTTAGAACTTAAAAATCACAAAAATCAACCTATTGTTGGATTCCCCTGTAACGATGAGTGAGGAGAGAAGAACGACGTTAGAATGAACAACTTTGACGCTTCATCGCTCGGCTTTGCCGAAAGCAATAAAAAGCATCTATTTAGATATTTAAGGTATTTAAAAAAAATAGTTTATTTTGATCAGCAGAACCTTTTTTTTTCCATATTAAGCAAAATATAAAAAGTAAATGGAATAACTAACATCCAAGTAGCTGTCCAGTGAGCAGTTTGTCTGTCATTAGGTTTTGTTTAGCGTGATATCCAAACAACCTTTATTTAGACACGTTAATCCCATTGAGCCTCGAGGACTCATTAACAAGAGAGACCTGATTTTAACAAAGCATGATGATAACAGTGGACAACAATAGACGATCATAAAAAAGGCATACAGATTTTTTTTCTTTTTTCTTCTTCTCCAAATTAAAATAAAATGGCAAAAAAAAAGTAGCAAAAACAGCTAGATTATAAGGCGATGTAGAAAACTAAAAACAGGAACAGGTATATATGATATAAACAAATATGAACAAAAATTACGACTCCCACTGTCAGTCAAAAAACAAAACTGATTCACTTCTCAAGTTTAATTATACAACAGTACAAGAATAAAAGTGGATCAATAAGGTGATTCCCAAAAAGCTCTAAGGTTTTATTTTTCTAAATTTTAAATACAGACTCCACCGTTTTGAGAGTCCCTCCTAATGAAGTGATTTCAGGGTTACTGAACTTAAAAAAAGGTTCAAATGGACATTTTCTTGGTAGAGAGCAGTTGAGTCTGGTCTCGCTAAAAGAAGATGGAGGAGGAAGGTCAAGTAACTCGCTCCATTCTTAAAAATTAACCAAAAAGGAGGATGAAACTAAGAGGTTCTCTTGTTTTTGACCACGTCCTGTTTGTCTCGGACATTTTAGAAGACATGAGGAAATTGTGTTAGCTTGTGGAAAACAGTTCCAATGGGTCTACGTTCAAGACACGACTGGATTAATTTACATCTGCACGGTTCATGTTCAGTAAATGATTCCAAGGCCGAAGGTTTTTAGGCTGTAGTTGAACTCTTTGTCCTCTTGTGCAGTTAAGATTTCGATGTGCGTCAGAAATTTTGAGGTTATTTTTGACCGGGTTAAAATTCACAGAGAATTATTTTCTTCATTTCTACAAAGAGCTCAAAGGCCGTGCTGCTTTTTAGCCTTAAGGAGATATATTAAGGTAAACTTTGTCTATTTTTCCATCTTTGTGACACTCACACTAATCCACAACTGAACTGTAAACAAAAGAAAAAGAAAGTTGCATTGGGCTCGTCACATATTGTTCTCATTTGATGGTGGAAAGTCTAAAATCATAAGCACTGAAATGTGATGAATTTCAGTCGTGCTCTTTTTTTATTATTATTTTTTTGGGGGGGAAACTCCAGTTTTCTTTAATAAGTTCCAATTCCAAGTGTCATTTGAATCTGTTCCATAATTTACCATTTCCCTCTGAATTTGTTTAAGCTTTCTACAGTTTCTGAATCTGTTCCATGTGTTATTAGAGGACGTTGGAAGGAAATTATTCTTGCTTTTTATTTGCTGTTGGGAACTAAATTAACACTCGTACTTTTGCGTTGCTAGAGGTAACTCAGAGAGCAGGGCGTTAACATTTCATTTAGCTTTTTTATTTTATTTAAATCAATCCTCAACTCATTGAAAGTGATTTCTGCCTTTCAAGCAGAGCAGGTGTTTGATCGCATCAGCCTGAAAATGTTCGGCTGCTCTGGAATAAGAACGACACTTTAGTATTCAGGGCGTCAACAATGTGATGTGGAACTGTTCAGGAAAAATGACAGAAGGAGGTTTTACACTTGACAGCTTACAAAAAGTGCACCGCTTGTTTCACAGCGCAGCTGCAACACTCAAACTGCTGTTTACTGTCAATTCAACACAAAAACTGGAGATTTTAAGTCGTGTTAAACATGCCAACATTGGTTTTGTTCCCAAATGTGCAGCATGTCAATTTTTCTGTGGTGGGAGGTTTTAAAAATATTTCCTGCCAGCATTTGTATTACAACGCAAAATAAAAAAAATTAATCTGATAAGGAACCTAGAAGGCGCGAAGGTTTTGCTGATAAAATGTGAAATACGAGTGAGTGTGCAGACCCTGCGATGACTCTGCAGAAGTGAAGACCACCCAGTGATATTAAAAAAAGAAGTCTCTCCAATCTCTTTGATTCTGAATGCAGCTTTTGACAAGACACTTTTAATGACGACCGTTTAATGTGACGAAGAAATCTGGGACAGCGGGGTGTGGGGAGAAGTAATCCAATGCAAGTTCTTGCAGGAGACTCTGACTCTCTCTGCTCCATTAATCAACGTCCTAGTGACAGGAGCCCTCAGCCATGATTACGCTTTATGTCCAATTGGCTGGAGAGACTGAAAGAGAGATGGATAAGTCCAAATAAATGGGTGTAAAACTGACTGTGAATCAATTACACTGAACTGAACTGTTGTACTCAATGTGAATATTTCAGGTCTTACAATACTATTCCAATATATAAAAATACACATATAAAAAAAGCATTTGTACAAATTTGATTGCTTGAAAAAAAAAAAAAAAAACTGTTGCTAGTTTTTAATTATTTTGATGTATTTTATAAGTTCATTGATGTCCTAAAATGAGCACCCATCAGTCATAAACAGTTTGACTGTTTAATTTGTCTTGCTATCAGCTTTTAACTTGTCTGCCATGGAGAGCCATTTCATTCAAAATTAATTAAATAAATAGTGTTAATTAAAAAAATATTAATAAATATTCCATTAAATAAATAAATGTTCCCATGAAATATATAAATAAATAAAATAAATAAATAAAACATTTAAATATGTTGTTTAGTATTTTTTTCCAAGATTTACTTTTTATTTATTTCAAGATTTATGTATTTATTTATTATTTATTTATAGATTTAAAGATTAATTTATTTATTTAATAATGGAGTTTCATTTTGTGACACTTATTTTGTAAAGCTATTTTACATATTTCAGGGTTTTTAATTTTTTAACCCCCTTTTTCATTTTAAGCACTTTTTATTTCACGTTCTTCTATTCAAATGAGGGGGCGTGGTTTTCTCTGGAGGACGGGTTTCCATTATTACATAAATAAAATGAAATAAATAGAAAATAAAATAGAAATTAAAAACATTTAAAAAAATCTTCCATTTAAATGTTTTATTTCATGGGATCATGTATTTATTTAATGGAATATTTACCACAAAGTGTTGGACAAATGTGGACAAAAACTTAAATCAAAGTAAATAATTTATCTCAGAACCTAAAAGAATTTGGAAATAATAAAGTGGGGTTCTGAAAAAAGTTTATGAACAAATAATATCCAACCTGCAACTGATAGCTTTTTGACAAACCTCTGTTTGGAAAAACAGAGTTTCATTTTGACCAAATTGATGCGTCTGCTAATCTGAGCAAGAGCAAAGTTTACTGTTGTCATATGAACTGCTTTAAGGTTTTAAATGTTTTAAAACGGCAGTAACCCACTTTGTTTGTGACTTTTATTCAGATTAGATGTTAACTTGTTAAACTGCATTGCATTAAATTATAACGAGACTTACCTAAACTGTACGTTACTTATGATTCATCTGTAAAACACCTTGTACTGACTTTTGTTGTCAACTGTGGTTTTACGAATGAACCGAGTTAAATTAATAAATGTCTTATTTTTCATTATTTTTATTCATGGTCAATGATTCTTATTAACCGCATTTTTCATGACTTTAATAATTTGACAAAACAGAGTGTGCTGTAGGCATGTCTGCATCATCTCCAACACGCTGCAGGGTATGTTTGTTACATGACATATGATCATCTCTTTACCAAAAACAATAATAAAAAAATACAATTTAAAGACAACTGGAGCAAAATAAATCAAATTTTCTGCTGAAGATCTGACTTACGGACTTTCGCACCATGAAATTGTGAGTATTTCAGTAGCAGTTTAGCATGAAGATGTTTGAAAATGAAAATGACATGACAGCCATAGAGAAAAAGTCAGGGGGTGGGAAGGGGGTGGGGGGTAGATAAGGAGTCTGACCTAGTTGGGAGAAACACAGCAGCCTGAGGCCGCAAGCCTTCTTGGCCCTGGATTCATTTCAGGTCATTTCCTTTTGCTTTTATCCTCTTCCCTCTTTGTGTTTTTGTCTTTAATCCTTCCTCAGTTCTCCTCTTTGTCTGCAGTGCCAACGATCAGTCCGACACACATAATGTTTACCAGGTAGACACATCTGACACTCACTTGAAATGTTGGTGCTCTCTGGAGGTGCGGATCTTGGCGGAGAAGCGCTCGGTCAGTTTATCCAGGCCTCTGGAATACTCGAGCTGGAGCTCGGCCTTCCGGCGGAAGAATTCCTGCAGGTCCTGCAGCAGCTGCAGCCGGGACTCGGACTGTTGCTCCAGACAGCGGAACTGCTCCACCAGCTGATTGCGAATTTCTGCATATTGAAACGAAAGCCTGTCATCGGGGTAAACAGGTGCAGGCTTACACACCGGGGAACATTTCCATGTGCTGCTGTCAGCAGTAAACCCACAACCTTTCAGTGGTGGATACAAGTTAAAACAGAAGTGAGAAAACTAGCATAAACACCAATAAAGTAAAAATGTCATCACAGCTGGTGAAAAGTACACGTCAAAACGCATTTGTCTTCAATCTATATATGCATGCGTTTGTGTGGGCAGAGGGTGAGAGGGAGTGAGGCGGTTGGGGGGGGATGTCTGCATACTGGGGCAGCTTACGTTGCATACAGTATGAGATACATGTCTGATGATTGCAGCAGACAGCATGGAAAATTCAAAATAGGTCAGCTTCTCAAAAGGCATTGTGCCGAGTGAGCCTTCAGACGACTTTCTTTTTCTTGAATAAACAAATGGTATGAATTCTTGTGATTGCATGACTGTGGTGGCTGATTTGTGTTAGGTTTCAAAACCAGTTGCTCTGGATCACTATCTCAAAATGACGAACATTTTTTGTTTTGCGCAAATATTTCAAAGTACAGTTCATGTGGTACTTATGAATACATCTTTACAATATAGAAAGGCGACTGACTCCAGCCTATATTTGTTTGAACGTTTCTAAACATTCCAGGGATTTTGTGTCATAAAAATCACTCCATGAACTAAAAAGCAAACAGATGCTTCTTTACTTCATCATAGCCAACAACATGTACAACAAGATAAATGCAGTGACTAAGTTGATGCTGCATATGAACCACATTTCATCCCTAGAGCTCAGTGCTATGCTACATTTGTGACAGCAAATGTACAAAACAAGCACACATAGTCCTAAAATAAGCATAATTATACAAAAATACCAACATTTTGTTTGATCCTAATTGCATAATGTACTAAATTAACTTGGAAGAAAAATAACTTTTAAAACAACAACACTTTCCTGACATACAATAATGTTCAACATAGCTTCCTCCTACGTCCATATATCATTTTTACCCACTTCTTCCCTTCTGGATCATGAGGGTCACTGGTGCCCATATCCAACATTCACTGTGTTCATGGTGCGGGACACCCTGGACAGGTCTCCAGTCCATCACAGGGACACATAGAGACAAACAACCATTCACTCTCTCACTCACACCCAGAGACAATTTAGAGTTACCAATCAGCCTAACATGCATGCTAGGAAACGCCTTGTATCTGTGACTTTCCTTCCCTCCATTGATTAGGGTCACATTATTTACATGAACGCTCCTACAAGAACCCTGCAGATGTTGGATGCCGTCTATCATGGTGCACTAAGATTCATAACTGGCTGTGATTATTGTACCCATCATTGCACCCTGTATTCACTGGTTAACTGGTCACCATTAACTTCACACAGACTCTCTCACTGGTACATTTTCATCTATAAATCACTTATTGGTTTGTTGTCTTCATACATCTCTTCCTACATGTCTCTGTGTGAGTGCAGCTACAGCGTGCGCTCTCAGGACATTATTACCTGCAGTGTTCCCTCAGTGCGGACTGAACTAGACAAAAGGGCCTTCTCCTACTCCACTCCCGTTTCCTGGAATATCTTGCAAAAAGACCTGAAGCTCTCGACCTTGACCTCTATAAGTGGCTTTAAAAATCTGTTGGACACCTGGCAAGGACCAATGCAGACATGTTCCTGTTTTTAGTTTTCTACATTCGCCTTAGAATCTAGCTGTTTTGTTACTCTTTTTGCCATCTTATTTGTAAAAAAAAATCTGTATGCCTTTTTATAACTGTCTATTGTTGTCCATTGTTGTCATCATTCTTTGGCGAAATCAGGTCTCTCTTGTAAATGAGTCCTCGGGGCTCAATGGGATTTACCTGTCTAAATAAATGTTGAATAAAAAACAAACTCCACCCAGAATGGCCTCTGGCTGGGATTTGATCCAGCAACCTTCTTGATGAGGGGAAACAGTTCAACCAACTCTGCCACTAGCTTTAACTACTGGAGATGCACCGAATAATTGGTTGGCGACTGAAATCGGCTTTTATTTTAGCTTGACCCGTGACTAGTGGGTTTAACGTTAAAAAGATCATTCTTGGCCAGGTCCTCAAATGTGCTATAAACAGATGTTAATTGTTTATTTTGTTTTTCCTAGGATGTGAACTCACAACAGCTAAGCTTTAATTTGTGCTAGCAATGGTACGGCTTCTGTGTATAATTTTTTATACTGAATTTAAAAAAGACAAGAGTTAGCCATTTGTAACATAGGTAAGGTGTTAAAAAAAGCTACTAAAAGAAAACGAGAAGTCGTCAGCTGCTGACTTTTCGGCTAACAGTTTCCATACATTACATACAAGCACATTTAGCATATTTTAGTGGTAGGAGTAGTGTGTGAAGTGAAAATTTCAATGAACCAAAAAGTTAAGAATTATTGTTGTTTTTTCTACATCATTGAAGCATGATGTCTCATTCGCAAGAGAGCCTTGTTTCAAGTGTATATACAAGAATGTAGTCGCAAATAAACACAGGCAATAAAGGCATCTTCTTTCTGCTGTTCCCTCTTCAGGCGTCGCCACAGCGAGTCCTCCTCCATCTCACCCTGTCCTCTCATCTGTCCTCACCCCAACTACCTCCATGACCTCTTAACTGCATCCATACATCTCCTCTGTCTTTTTCCTGGCAGCTGCATTTCTAACATCTTTCTACCAATATACCCACTGTCCCTCCTCTAGACATGTCCAAACCATCTCAGTCTGGCCTCTCTAACTTGATCTCCCAGTTGTTCAACCTGTGCTGTACCTCTGATGAGCTCGTTCCTAATCTTATCCATCCTTGTCACCCCCAAGAAGAACCTCAACAGCTTCAGCTCTACCACTTTCAGTTCTTTCCCGTCTTTTTGTCAATGGCACTGTCTCCAAACATACATCAACACAGCTGGTCTCACTCTTGTCTAGTAAACCTTTCCTATGACCTTTGCTGCCACCCTTTTGTCACAAATCACTTGTGATACTTTTCTACAACCACGTTATTATCCACTTTAACTGCAGTATAGCCACTGTATGGAAACAGTCAATACAGGGCACACTGCAATTTAATAAACTCATCAGGTCAAAAAACACGTTATATGTTGTGAATTATTGTTCTTGTTGCATATTGGTCTGTGAGTAAAAATGTGAATGGAATGGGTGATCAAAGAGAGGGAAACAAAGTAAATATGGAGTCCCTGGATATGTGGAGAGGAGGAGATGTACCTCTCATGGTCCCCACAGTTTCCCAGTTGCCTGGTAACATGCCTCTGGAGGCATTTCAATGAGAGCAGGCCAGTTCCCGGCTCAAACAGTCGCAGCAGTCAGTCTGTTTAGCATAATGGCCAAGGACAAGGGCAACTTACTCTGCTTCAAAATATGCAACAAACAGCCTCTGATGATGAATGAGGCAGCAATGAAGTTCAAACAGAAAGAACGGTGATGTGCTCCTAAAATAAAATACACCGCAATTAGTTGGGCTCTGTGTTTTAAATTACTATTAATCCCACAGTGGTGCAAAAAAAAAAAAAAAAAAAAAAAGGAGTAAAATTGAACAGGTTTTGCTTCATAATTCCAGAAGGAAACAGAACTGTCGTATATGCAGTCATGTTCCTGCATGACACATTCTTTTTATACTCTAAACTGTACTGTAACGTGCAATGCTGCACTACATTCAATGAATGATTCAAGCCTTTGCAGAGTAATGCACAATTACACAGAAGCTTGCAATGACTTCAATGAATTTTCTGCAGAGAAACGACTCAAAAGCGGTTCCATCTTTTTGTTAAAGAGAAATGCTGAGCAACATGCCATACCAGTTTTATTGCTCAGGAAGAGTATGCATGCTCCACACCCAAAGCCTTGTGGAAATGCACTTACAGGATTTTTAGGCATTCACTGCTACCCTATATTGCGGATTTATCCTAACATGAACAAGACAGCACTTTATGGAACAACAACTTATAAAATTTGATCACATAACATCAAATGAATAGAGCCAGTTTGCATATGAGAAAGATTTGTGAGATGTTAAAGCCTTGATAGCATAAATTAATTCAACCTTTATTTATACTCTCAGCTACTACCACATCACATTTTAACTCAACATCAGGAAAACTGACCGAGTTATGGACATTTTATGTGATGGGTAATGTCAATTCAGCAGCACGATGGCTCAGTGGTTAGCACTGTTGCCTCAAAGCAAGAAGGTCGTGGGTTCAATCCTCGGTTGGACCTGGGGTCTTTCTGTGGAGTTTACATGTTCTTCTTGTGCTTGCATGAGTTTCTTCGGGTACTCCGGTTTCCTCCAACAGATCAAAAACATGTATGTTAGGCTGCCTTCAGGCCCACGCCTCCCTTGCAAAAGAGATCTGTGATCTCATTGGGATTTGCCTGGTTAAATAAAAGGTTAATAAATTTGCTGTGGCTTCCAGTCTGAACCAGAATGACTCCAAACAATCAGCTGGAGACATATGTCCATATTTTGTCAAATTTCATCACGTTGTTCATTAAATATTTTGGTAATAGTCTGAGCAAAAATCATTATTGTCCAGCTTTACTTTTCTGCAGCAGACAATAACTATTTAGAAGTAGCTCTTTAGTTAATAAAAAAAATACTATTGGCATTGGCAAACTGTGTTTCTATATCATGCTCCAATATTTTTTATTCTGTAATGTTTAGTAGGCCTATCACAATAAATCAATTAATCGCATGATAAATTAAAATGATCAACCTCATTTTCATTTATTGCTTCTATCGTTTCTTCGTCTCTCTCTACTGAAGACACTGGATGACAAAAAGGCTCAACTCCGGTGCTCTTCACTGATCCCTCTCTTTCTATTCTCTCTTTAAAATCCAATGTAACCATCCAAAAATCACTTTTTTTTTAATTGTTAAAAGCAGCTAAGCAGAGAAGATAAGCGAAGAGGCCGACCTCGGGGAAAAAAATACCGTCTTTTCAAAGCTTCAAAATTCATG